TCCACTGCGCTATAAAGCACCATTTTTGTATGTATCAGGATGTACACTGCTTGTTGAGATTCTACTAGCACTGCATTGTCCATTCAGTCCTTTTCATCACATTGCGGATCCTTGGCTATATATGTACATCGCCCAACTGGGCATGTAACACCTTGTTTGTGGATTGTTTTGTTTTTCAACCTTTCTGTGAAGTAGTGTCCCAATTTCTGATCTCCCACACTGCCGGTCTCCTGAGGATTCCAAACAAGGCTTTCCTTTCCTCCTCCTGAACCATTGAAAATTGTCTGGCAAACACATTTTCCTTTTCTTGAAAACACGTCTTCCTTTGCACCAGAGCTAACCGTGACAGGTGCTGCTAGAGGAGGATGCTCATATCACCCCCTCTAGCACAGCCAGCCGGGCCTTTGGGAAAGAAAAAAAAAGGAAAACAATAACAAGACAAGGATCCGGTGTATGTATTCTAGGGGGACTAGAAAATGTCTCCATCTAACGACCATCCATTTCTTGATTCTTTGCTGCAGTTCATTTTCGAAAGTCGCGACATAGATACGGAGACCCGGATGTTCGGACCCGTGAGATTTCAGCAGGAGGGGAGGGTGAACATTATGAACGGGATGATGGATCATGGATGGTGCTTCAGCTACACATGCCTGAAGCGTCTGTCAACCTATTACACATATGTCTTGACAAATAGAACCTTGACTGTCCGCACAACAGGTGAGAGAGAGACAGCGAGGGGGGGAAAAAAGGTGACAGAGGTGAAGGGAATGGTGCAGCAGCTCAAGCTGAGTTGAGTTGCTGCCGATCAGGAAAAAACTTCAAAAAAGGAGGTTCAGTGGGAACTGCTTTCAATCTTGTTGAGCAGTTCCAAAAGGGGAGACAGAGGAGGGGGGAGGAAATCATACAAATGGCACTCACTACCTAGGGGATAAAGCTCCACACTTCTTGTCGGATTGAGTCCAAGAAAAGGGCTTTGCTTTTTATCATGTTACCTATTCTTTCCTCTTTTTGGAACTGCAAGAAAAATGAGCAATAGCGAAATGACAGAATTCCAGAATGCAAAATCACAATGAAAGCCAGCTGGTCGAAAACTGTCCAGAAAGCAGAAATGCACTGATATGTCACCGAAGGAGAACCAAAGCAGTGAACTCAATTGTCAATGAAAGCATACTCTCGCCACCACCACAAATGCGATTGAAGCTCTTCCTCCTATGGCGCTCAGCGCCTAGACTATGATCCTACAGCTACTATCCTAGACTACCAAAGTGATGAAGCAACCAGTTGACGTCAGTAGCAACAACCAAAGTACATGCAGATTTGGACCATGCAGATCACCGCCATGACCAGGTACGTGCCCTCACATCATCTCCTCACTCGGCTTCTCCCTCATCACCCTCGTCTTCTCCTTCCCACATCCTTTCTACCCTAACCAAGGACCACCGCCTATTCCCCCCCGACCTTCGTCCAAGTCAAGCCCGGCTACAAGGGCTTGGCTATGGTGCTACCCTCTTGCATCGCTCTATCCCGACGCCCGCGCGCGCCCAAGCTCAAGCGCTAGCGCAGCAGCATGTGAGCGTTCGCTCCAGCAGTGCTGGCGCACGCACTCACAAGTGCCCAAATACCTCCACCAGAGGAGAGTTCTTTCCTATATGGAAAGTGCTCGCCCAGTTCACTGCCGGGCTGGGCCGCGCGTGTGCCCTCTAGCTTCAAGTTGGGCCAAAGTGTTCATGCCCAGGCCCGTTCAAACGTGCGTTGTTCCCTGCTTTCCCACGTTGCTGGAAGAGCCTAGAAGGCTCACAGATATTTCTGATCCTCACGAGCAAGCCCGATTTAACCAAGTGGCTCGTGGCAACTGTCTGGCGCCCACCAAAGCTTTGGAAAATGGACGAATTCAGGGCACATTGAGGTTCAGGGGCCCGCCTTCACTTAGGGCAGGCAGATGCTTGCTGCAGGGGCCTTGTGCAGGTATGTCGAGAGGTAAAATCCTCGCACTACTCTAAAAAGAAAAAAAAAGAGAGAGAAGGGGGTAGCCCCTAGCATTGTTCTATTCATCTGAGTTGATCAGGATTCAAACTCATAATCATACTCATGTCGTCATCACAATAGACACTAGTACGTTCATTCCATCCAAAAACGATGGAAAACACCGAACAGTAAAAAACAGGTATGGCTCCCCGTTGCCACGTTTTGACTGCTCATGCTCACCACGTGCAATTCTCTTTTTTTTCCTGTACCATTGCGCCACATGGCCTAGGTATATGCTATACACTGTGTAGCATATGATGATATACTGTGAGGTCCTCTGAGCAGCCACACTACGATAATTTGCCAGTTGAAGAGAGAACGTCTCACACAGGCAATAGGTATGGGTGAGTGGGCCGCCAACCATGCCTGGGGCTATTAGACCAGGGTTGGGTGATTAAGTGCGTAAGTCTCATCCATGCTCCCAGCTGGACCAAGGGAAGAAGGAGGTGGTCTCAGCCTGTTGAAGGAGCAAGCCTTCTGCGCCTGTGCAAAAGGAGCCGGAAAAAAATAAAAAAACTATAGGTCTACTAAAATCAGTCGATGGAATCCAAAATAACAGCGGCCCCCACAGCTATGGGTCTTGGTCCACTGGACAACTTTCTATATGTATCAGTCAACCTCGACCTCGCAATGGTCCCAGTTACATTCAAGAAGTTAGATCAGTCTGAATTTATCTGGACCCTTATTAATGCAGTCTGAATTTATCTGGACCTTAGGGTTCGGGCTCCTTTTCCATTCTGGGGAGCATCAGCCCGGTTCCTATTCCCCCAGCAAGTCATAAAAAATACAACTGATACTCACGCATGCTCCTCCCCCTTCTGGCCCGAAAAATGGCATTGATTGCTTCCTTAGGGAAGGATGTACCATTCTTCACCCCTGCCTAATTTAGCCTGTGTCATGCTGTTGTACTTGAGTGCTAATCTATTTACTTCTAGTCTAGGACCCTTGCTTTTTTCAACGGACTTGATCTATGCTCAACTTGGTAAATGTGTTTGATGCTAAAACCCTAACCCCTTGCTTGATGCCTCTTTGTCTGTACCCTGTCCCTGGAGGTCGTTCTATGCCGTGTCTGCTGATTACACCTACAGTGGTTAATCGGGCTGGTCTGAACTCTAAGTATTGCATGATGATGGGGAGGGGTCGACTCATAATCTGGTGAAGGCTTCTTTGTAGGGTAGGTGATAAGGCTAGGGGGGTGGCTATGTTGGGGGGTTTGGATAGGCATAGGTTATTGGGTGGTGTAAGGTGGGTGTGAGGGGAAGGGGGGATGGTAGGTGAGTGTATCTGATGTTGGGTGGTGTAAGGTGGGTGTGAGGGGAAGGGGGGATGGTAGGTGAGTGTATCTGATGGAGTGTGGGCGGTCTCTTGGGGGTTGAGGGTGGGTGGAGCAGGGGGGAGGGGTATCTACTGGTCCTGGATTAGTGATGCGTGGCTGGTTTGGCAGTGTTTGTGCGTGGGTTGGGGGAGTTGTAGAGATGCTTTGTGTGTGCTGTGTGATTAGCCAGTTTTTAAGAACAAGTCTGTCGTTGTTTATTGTGCACAGTAGACCATTGCTGTTATGGACTCAGCCAGGGCTCGATCCCTGGTCCGCGGGTCACCACCCCCAGGCTGCTATTTCATTTTTGAGTCTCTGATCTCCGGTGCCTGACTGTTGGCACCCTCTGCAGTTGGCGCCAGTTCTCAAATCCCTCCTCAGGCATTTTCGGATTTCGATACTTGGCGCCATCCGGCATTCTGGCACCCAGGCTCAGACCTTCGATTTTCAGTTCAGTGCCGAGACAAATTGCACTTCTGCCCTCGGGACTCAACTTGAGTCCGGTACTTAACACTGGACTCAAGCTGAGTTCGTCATTCAGTTTTCGGCCTCAGTGCTTGTGCTTCAGTGTGACTTGCTGCGACATTGTGTTCGGAATCCAAGATTGCGACTTTGTGACTTTGCGACTTTGCCACCTTGTGTCGGCGTCCGCCATGGCGTGTCGAACCCGTGTCGAGTTGAGTGAGTGTGTGTGTGCTCTCCCTCTCTCTCTCTCTCTCCCTTCCCCGACCTCGCTGCTCTGCCTCAGCCTCATCACACTGGTATCGGAGGTGCAAACGGCCCTCCCTCCCTCCCTCCCTGTTCCGGCACTGCCACGTCATCGACATCGTCACCATCGTCATCGTCTCCAGCGCCGCCACGTCATCGCCACTGTCGTCATCGCTGCCACGTCAGCACCTCATACCTGTCGTCGTTGCGCCATGTCAGCAACTCCTCGCCCTCGTCGTCGCTGCCACGTCATGGATTCCCGAAGCCGGACAATGTTTTTTCTCTCTGCCTTTCTCTGCTTTTCTCTTCTTTCCTCCTCTCTTCTCTCGTTTCTTCTCCTCTCTCCTTTTTCCTCACTTCCGCCTCACATAGTTCTTCTTCCTCGCCGTCGTCGCCGTAGTCATCTTCTTCTTCTTCCTCGTCGTCGTCGCCACTTTTCCAATGCTCTGGCGGCATATGCCAGGGCCACCGGTCCATTCGGAGCAGCGTTGAGGACGCTGACCGAACAACTGGTTAAATCATCCAATGGTAGACCCCCCAAGGGTGACAGAAGAGCTCCAGTAACTGAGCAGGAGAGGCAAAAGAGAGGAGGGGAGGATGTGAGAAGTGGTCTGCAAGCAGCCATGTACAATGACGTAGATACGCAGGGGTAACCTGGGAACGGAAGGTACAGGCCCCCTAGCAGTAGGAACCGGTAAGGACCGGGTTGTACATTAGCAATCGGGTGGCAGACCCCCGCCCAGACAGTGAGCACTGGGCTATACACTAAACACATATAGGAACGATAGGTACGTGGGTAGTAGGAGAGGCTATAGTTCAATCGCTATTAGGAATACGGGAAAAGGGGGCGGACGAGGCAGATGTAGGAGGTGGTAACGGGTACCAGGTGTATAATAGCAGGTGAGTAGGCATTAGGGGCTAGTCCAGCGTCATTGGGGCCAGTAGGGTTGGAACTGGTGCAGGGGTGGGGGGTTGTTTCCGACTGGCATGTACCTAGCGCGTAAGTCGGGCCTGGTACGGCAAGAGTGTATGGCCCCAGATGAACCTACTTCGCAGCGCAAGCTTCTACCGCCGGCCAGTACACGTGCGGTTTTGAATTTCTGGCAGGAAAAAGTGCACACGTGAGGTTGTTGGGAAGGAGAGGCGTGCATACATGCACACCAGGTCAGTTACATACGGGCACAGTCGACACCCGCCCAGTCAGTTGATGTACTCGAGCCACCGCAGTGCGGACGTGGAGGCTGTACTGACTATATGTTCAGAGGGCAAGGCCAGAACGGCCCTCTTTGCTCTGGGCGGATAGCTACGGTGGATGCGGGAGTGTGGTTGCCCCGTGATAAGTCCTGGTGCGCAGCCAGGTGAAATGCATCGGGGAATGTGCGAGTTGAGCTGATTGTCCGTGCAGGTGCTTTACTGCTCATCATTGAGACATGGACTCATAGCGATTGGCCTCGCTGTTTCAATTCTTGAATGCGCAACAACCATACGAGCGGTCGTACTCGTCTTGGTGGTTACGCCTACGTGAGACTTGTGAGCGGGATAGAGGGGCGGACGCTGCGAGTGAAGAGAGTGAGGAAGTGAGAGAGAGTGAGAGAGAGCCAGAAAGGGAGAGAGAGAGGGAGAGAGACAGAGAGAGGGAGGGAGAGGTGCAGAAAGTGACTTTGGGCGC